CAATTCAAAGCAACCGGTGGGCAACCAACAATTCAAAGCAGCCGCGGCTATTTTTTGTCAAAAGTTTAGCAGATTTTGTTGATATTTTAAGCATGGGAAAATTATTTTTAGTCACTAGACTTTAGGGTATTTACAAGATTAGTCCTTAAGTTTCAACTATAAATACACTAGTTCATTTAGCTTGAAAATCATCCCAAAATCTTCCAGTTCTCTCTCAAGTGTGTTTTGTAAACACCTGTAATTTTTTTCTCTTTAGTAAAAGATCTGCAGCAGTCCGGAGACGTAAGCACAATTGGCTGAACTCCGTTATCATTTTTTCGGGTATTATTTTTCCGCTTTTATTTCGTATTCTCACTAATCTGGCTATAGGAAAATTACTCGTACTCGGTTTATTTCCTAACACTCCTCACCTCCAATTTCCAGCTCACTCTATCTTCTCGAAACCCCAACGATAGAATCGGTATTTACTACGACCGCCTTGACGTTTACGCCACTTACAATAACCAACAAATCACCCTCCGAACCTCCATCCCTCCGACGTACCAGGGTCACAAAGAGATCAACGTTTGGTCTCATTTCATCAACGGAAACTCGGTACCCATCGCCCCGGAATTCTCCTCCAGCTTGGAAATGCAACAGCTGCCGGCTCGGTTTTCTTGATAATCAAGATTGATGGACGGGTGAGATGGAAAGTTGGAACTTTCATCTCCGGGAGATATCATCTTTACGTTAGGTGTCCGGCTTATATCACCTTCGGGAGCAAAAGCACCGGCGTTATGGTAGGATAAAACGCTATTAAGTATCAGTTTGTGACTAGATGCAGTGTTAGCGTCTGAATCTGAGGGTGGCCAAGGAAGATGATGAAGAAAGAAACGCCGTATTAAATCTATTTCCCTCGTTTTTTTATTTCACGCCGTTAATATTTTAATTTTCTTCTGTTATATATATGTAGGTGGAGGACTTGTACATTTTGCTGTAGATTAAATGGAGAAATAAGTTGATACGAGAAAATAAATGTAGCAAAATTTACAATTAAATAAGATTTTTTTTTCAATGAATAGTGAACGAATTTTATTTTATTTTCAGAATTCTGTTTGCTTGCTGTTTACTCTTCATTTCGTTTCTTTTTCATTCTTCTCCAAATTTTGTTTTTATTAAAAGAAGGGGATACTTTCAACCTTGATTACGATGTAAGTTCTATTTAAATAATACATCTTCCTTCCTTTATTTATTTGTAATGATTTGGTTAATTGATGTGCTTAATGGTTTTTTAATTATGTATTAAAATAATTTGTTTTTATAAATTTCACATAATCCGTTATTCCTACGTAAACATCTTTAACTTGAAATCATTCTTCTTTGGAAATTGTTTTGTTTCATTGAGAGAGAAAAGAAAACAGTTCAAAGGTTATTTTGAGTTAACTTCCCATCAAAATCAAGTCTACAATTAAGGTAGAATTTATATTTAATAAATCAAAATTTACAATAAATAAATAGACCAAATTAAATAACAGGGAAAGGTCAAATCAATTTTTATTGAGATAAATTGTAAAATTTATGAGATTTTTAAAAATTATTATAATCTAAAATTTTGGGTAGTTATGTTGTATGGCAGTCTAATATAAGTCTAAGGAAATGAATTACTAGAAATGTTAATATTTTTTTAATATTTTTGATACAGTGCTATCTAAAATGTTATTTTTCTGCCGAATATGTTAATTTTACTATCTAAAATAAATATTTCTGATATTAATATTTTCGATAAAAAAAATAACATTTTAGGTAGTGCCCGATATTAATATTTTCGATAAAAAAACAATATTTTAGATAGCGCTCTATCAAAAATGTTAAAAAAATATTTATACTCCCGATAATTTATTTTCTTAATTTTATATTAAGATGTATTTCCTTATATATCCCTAAAACTTTATGATTTAGAAAGCTTGAATTTTATTCTTAAAAAATGGAAAAAAGGTTCGACTTCTTATTGATTGAAACAAAGAAACAAGTCATTTACTACTTAATTGTTAAGATGGAGGAGAGATGAAATCTTGAGATCAATTGCATCTCAAGTTTTTATAAGTTTAAATTATATAAATTAAAATTTGATATTTTAGTTTTTTTTAGGTTGAATAACTTCTCAAATTTCTATTAATTTAAAAATTATAATAAAATTTAGACTCAATTCTTTTATTCAAATATATTTTAGACCCTGTTAAATTTAAAATTAAATTAAATAATATTATCTTTATCATTTCAATATATACCTGATTTGATTGCTTCAGGAAGTGAAAGACATGGGTCCAAATTCCAAAGAAATAAAGTAGTGCGATGATGAGTCTTTTTCGGGGTAATTTTATTGAACGGAAACTTAATTTAACGTTAATTTAAAGCGATTTTAATTTAAAATTATTATTCTGACTAATTTAGTAAATTATATAAATTTATAATATTGTGTTGTAATTGAACATATTACATACATGCATGTATGTAATATTTTTTATTCAATTTAAAATATTATTTTATTTAACTTAAAAATTATATTTTTAATAATATTTTATATTATAAACAGATTTTTACCTTTCTAATTTCCTCGTTTCACCGTCTAACCATAAGTAGAAGATCACAGTGGGGATATAACCCTTAAACTTAATTTATACGTTACGACCAGATCTAACGGATTACGATAAAAAAATTTAAAGACATTCTTTGATAATTTAAAATCTAAATTATAATTAAATATCTTTAAAAATTAATTAATAACATCAAAGTTTAAATTCAGTAAATTAAAATCTTAAAAATAAAATATTTCAAAATCAATATCATGCAAATATAACATCAATAACAAAAGTAATATTTTCAAAATATAGACACATATTACCCAAATTAAATGTAGCTAGGAAATAAAAATATTACAACAAAAGTCACTATACGAATATGTCGATCTCCAAGTGCTATGTATGGGTCACCTATTCAAAAGGTATATGAAAGAGAGAAATTTGGGACAGTAAATTAGGGAGGTCAGTATATTCCAACAATGCAAAAATAAAACATACAGTTAAGTTTATTTAGAAAAAGAAATTGGGGGAGTAGAGGGCCAGGCTTGCTCACTCTCAATCACAAATTATCAATTGGGCTTAGTTCACTTATCTACCGAAACTGGGTCTTAAATGACTTTACTCGAGACTAAGAATCAATAATTATATTATGAGTAATTTAATTTGAATTATTATAAGGTGATATATTTTTATTTTTTAATTATTAATAACGTACATATATTTTATAGATGTATTTTTTTGAATCAAGATCTTAATGAAAAACAATACTCTCTTTACTAATTAAGACCACCAATAGATTCATTTTAATAGAGATTTTAATTGTTCAATTATCAAAATCCATGAACCATTGACCACAACCATCATGAAATTTATTTTACTGATACTGTTAGGTATTTGTTGATTATTGGAACTGCTCATATTTGGTAGAATTATTCCCACCCAATTTTCTAACGTTTTTGTCAATAAAGACATAGCTTTATGTCCTTTAGACGTGTTAGGTGAAATTGAGAAGAAAGAGATATTTTTTTGGGTAAAATATATGTTTAGTACTTCAACTATTACTTTTATTCCATTTTAGCCATCTAATTAACTTTTTCCAAATTCATACTTAATGTTTAATTTTAGTTTCATTTTGAGCATTTATTGTTAAAAAATTATCAGAACTGTTCACATTTCATTTTTAATTTTTTTCAAAGATGATGTGACATTATCTTATGGTGACACATCGGTATTACAGTTAGTTTTTTAACGGTAGGTTACTAAAATTAAACATTAGAATTTGATTTTTTTAAAAATAGTTATAACTAAAATAAAAATTAAAGTGATTGTTGAAGTACTAAACGTATAATTTACCCTAAGTTTTTAATGTTTATTAAGAAAAAAGCATCCTAAATTCTAAAGAAAAGAGGAGAAAATAAAGAGACGCTTTTTTTTAAATTTCTCGCATTTTACAATTGTTAATACTCGCAAAGGCTCTAATAATAAAATAAAATAAAATGTACTTTTATATCGTTTTTGTTCTTCTAAGAAAATATCTTTTTATTCTTATCATCTATGCAAAAATTAAATTATAGAATAAACTTAATAATTAAATCATTCTAAAAAATTCAGACTTTTATCGAGCATGCCAAGAGTTCATTAGCCAAGTCTTCTCAATTTTGAATGTGAAGAGTTTCGACGTCATTCTAAAAATTGTATAGTGTACGAATGAAATGATTTTAATGGTTAAAGAATCATTGTTATCTTAAAGGTTTTAAGTTTGAACAAGTTTTACAAGAATATTTGAACATTCATTATCAAAAAATTAAAAATCGCTCAAACAAATACTACGTACTAATAACTCCAAACTAATAAAAAACTACATATTAAATCATCCATACAATTAACTCAAAACAAATAATAGATATTGATTTCATTAAAGAAAGAAAAAAGAGTATTGGAGTCAAAGAAAGCGAACTTGGAAGTTTCTCTACACCTAAAACACCCTAGTGGGTCCGTATGACCCTGTTTTCAATTATTAAAATATGTAATTAATTGTCAATTATAATTTTTAAAACATAATAAATAAAAAAATATTTTTTATAATTATCCATTTTTGATTTATTAATCGATTAATTTAAATTGAATACTGCAAAACTTAATCATCATTATTAATTCATGATAAATTATAATTTTTTAAAATATAATAAAATAATTAAATACTAATTTAATTCATATTAACACTTGAAAGTTACAGATTTGAATTAACTTTAATACTCAATATCATTCTAAAATGAGTTTTATTAATTATAGAAGTTTTATGGGAAAAAATCGACTACCAAATCCCCAAAGCAACCGCGTCAAAATGACGACGTAACGTGGCCATGACCTGCCTAAGTATCGCTATATTTGCCGACTTCTTCTTACATGCCTTTCCTATATAAATCATCCCACATTTTCTTCTCCATGGCTGACAAACAGTCTCACCTCAATGGTGCCTACTATGGCCCCTCAATCCCACCTCCTCCGAGAACCTACCACCGCCCCGGTCGCAGCTCGGGCTGCGGATGCGGCTGCTGTCTTCTAAAGTGTCTCTTCAACATCATCATCACCGCCGTCGTCATCATCGGCCTCGCCGTTCTCATCTTCTGGCTCCTCTTCCGCCCCAACAGGGTCAAGTTCCATGTCACAGACGTCCAACTCACCGAGTTCAACCTCACTGCCAACAACACTTTGCATTACAACCTCGTCGTTAACATGACGGTGCGTAATCCCAACAGGAGGATCGGCATCTACTACGATCGTATCGAGGCTCGGGCTTACTTCGAGGATCAAAGATTCAGTACCAAAACGTTGACCCCGTTTTATCAGGGACACAAAAATACCAGTTTCTTGAACCCTGTTCTCGTAGGGCAACAATTCGTGAGACTTGGTGCCAAGGAAACTTCAAAGTTGAATGACGAGAGGAGAGATGGGGTTTACAGTATTGATGTGAAGTTGTATTTGAGGATTAGGTTTAAGCTTGGAAGGATCAAAACTGGTAGGTTTAAGCCTAGAATTTCCTGTGACTTGAAGGTTCCTTTCAACTCAGCTTCCAATAATAGCGTCGCTGGTGCTTTTGAAACCACCAGGTGTGGTTTGGATTTCTGATGGGTCATTGCTTTGAATTTGTTCGAGCTGCTTCATTCGGGGTTTCATGTAAATATTTGTTGACTTTTGGGTTTATGGGGTAGGTTTTGTTGAATAAAATAATACTGATTGTTTTGTTTGATTTTGAATTTTTATTGATTTATTTTTCTTTAATTCGGTGGGGTGTTTCTTTTTTTTTCAATTAAAGAATATAGGAATGAGGTAATCTCAAGTGTTATAGCGTTCGTTACCAAAGCAAATGGTATTAGAAAATAAATGTGGCGATCCAATTGAAAATACTCGTTGACGTTTTGCAGAGTTCAATACATATAGACTTTGGAGATGGGATAGATTTCTTTTTTTGACCAAACTTTTGGGTGTAAACGCACACACTTTCACTACCATTATTTGAAGTTTGAAAAGCTTGTAGGGTAAGGTAACACTTTTTATTTCAGATTGGTTTCTCCGCGTGAAATTCGATATATGAAATCATATCAAGACTCGAAAATGATGAAATTCAAGACTATCTCAACCATGAAACCATCGTATCATCCTGAACCACCTTTGCTCGTAAGAAATCTCAACGGCCTAGTAACGCTGCTCGTACATTGACTCGTCATGTGTTTAAGGGAAATAAATTATTTCGATGTTCAAATATATTGCCTTTGTCATAACTTACCTTTTAATTTAATGATAACCTAATTTTTGTCATAGAGACCACAAATAATCCTACACCTTTGAACCCATAAAATGCAACAATAGACTTTGAACCCAAATGCCTTGTAATAAACTTGGGCTTGATTGGGGTTGGATAAATTTATTAAAACAATTGGGGGAAGAAAATGAGGTGCGTGATAAGAAAGAAAAGAACAATCAAGCAACCATCATAAAAGCAAATGCAACTTCTCTTTATACCCTTAATAACTACTGAATGTTATGAACAATTTTCCGCCACTGGTTTTTTAAATTACAATCGAATAACTTTTTTTATTTTAAAGAAAAAAGTGATCATAGTTATATCTAGAATTTAAACGAGGAATGACGGATAGTAATATAAATCAAGTATTTTATATACTAATCCTATGTGCTCTCAATTTGCGAGTGCGATAAATTTTAATAATATTATTATTTTTTCCTCAAAAAATTAGCATTCTTAAATGTCATTAATCATCACCACACATGTCATATATTTTTATCTTTTACATATACACATTAAACATGCTTTCATTATCATACATTCATATGATCAACATTTATAAATAATATTCTTATTAGATTAATCGAGACTTAAAAATTTTGCATTCAAACATAGTTAGGAAACATCGTAAGTCATTCGAACCAATCACACACATTTAATCATATTTTAAACAATTCGAATGATTATTTGTAACCTAGCACATCAAATAATAAGTAAGCATATAAAATACTTGCATTACTTCTGAGTTTCTAAAATCGTATTTTTATGGTCTTGTGACCTTATCTTCAAAGAATAATGAAAATTTAAAAATATAAAGAATATTACTATATTATTGACTAAAAATATGTTCACTAAATAGTAATAGACTCGAACCACCGAGAGACAATCAAATACTTTTTTCAATAAAAGTGTTTAAATTATTTTAATATTTTAAATTTAATTTTTTTAATAAATTATAGTTTATCATTTTATATAAAAGTGTTTAAATTATTTTAATATTTTTAAATTTTATTTTCAATAAATTATAATTTATCATTTTATGAATTCTGATATTTTTAATTTTTAAATTTTCAATAGTGTTTTAGTATTTTTATTTTTGTATATATTTAATTTTTTTTGAATATTTTAAAAAATTTTATATTTAAAATGTAAATATTTTTTATATTTTTATAAAATCAAATAAACCTTCAAACTTTATAAAAAGTTAATTAAGCCCCCAAACTTTAGTCAATTAAGCCTCTTTGTTACGTCATCATATATTGTTGGCTATCATGTTAACATCGTGGATCAAAACATGTCATCAACACTGTAGAATGGGCGGATGTACATGGAGGTTAGGGTGGACACGTACTCACATTGAAATCCGAATTTCTTTATATTAATTGTTAATTTTATTGATGGTGCCTACCCTGAAATTTTATTTGTGCTTACCCCATATGAATTTTTGTTGTTATTGGTATATATGTGCTCACTTTCAAAAATATTTTTGGGTCTGTCACTAACTGTAAACAATTATTTCAATATTTTAAACTATCAAGATAACACACTAATACTTTTTTTCAAAGAATTAAATTATTATTATTTTCTAAAGAGCCACATTAATCATAAATCAACAACGTACTTGATAGGAGAAATAACATTAATCCGATAAAATCATTGTCGAAACGGCAATGATTGTGGACGTGGTTAGCAACAGAGCTCTCAAAAAGAAATTAGGTTATATGCTTTCGAAAAGTTGAAATAGACACGTCAAGAAAATAAAAAGAAGTATTGAAACATGAAAGAAAGCTACTCGAATTTGACCAATTACAAAACATAAATTTTCAAAGAAATAAAAAAAAAAGTTGATGCTTTAGAGTAGGAACGAGTGGCCATAACCATTCTCTTTTTTATTTAATTTGTTTGAAGAAATCATTATGAGATGTCTTCGAATTTTAAAAAGAAGCGGTGGGGTTTTCACTTAGGGATGTCCGGGATGGATATGGGATCTGAATTCAACGGATTTCGATTTGATCCATATTTTTTAAATTTGGGTTTAGATTTTTTAAAGGTGATGTTCGGGCCGGGTCAGATTCAATTTAGGGTGAAAAATACCCGATCCGACCCGACCTCAAAAAATATAATTTTACCTTATATATTTAAAAATAATTACAATAATATTACTCTATATATTATTTTTTAATTAAATCACTATTTTTATTGAATAAAAATAATATTTTTTTATTATTTTAGGTCGGGTCTAATTTTATCTCAAAAAATCGGATCGGATTTAGGGTGGGTGGAGGGTATATATTTTTTGGGTTAGGTGAAGGATATAAAATTTTCAGGTAACCCAACCCGTGCCCATCCCTAGATTCACTTCATCTCTTTCTACGTGCTTCCCCTTATTTGATTTTAATTGCCATATTTTGGTTCGTATCTTTTAATATTTTAATTAATCAAAAATATATTTTAAAATTACTTAATTCTTATATATATATTTTTCGATTCTAAAAAAATATGAATAGAGTCCAAATTGATATTCTTTTGTAATATCCAAAGTCTATTTGTATATAATTTACATAATCGTATTTTTGATTCTTTATATATTTTGATGTTTCTAATCATTCACTCTTTTTTCTAATCTTTTGTTCATTTAGCAAAACATGTACGAGAGTTCAGAATTAGAAAAATAAAATCAACTCTTATACTCACTATTATTATAGATTTAACCTCAGGCTCAAATTAATAATTGAAGCATATGAGATTGCACTAGTCGATCATAAATGAAATTGATTAAAATATATAAAAAAAAACAAAGAAATAAAAGGAAAGAGAGAATAGTTTCATCTCAAAGTTAGTATATAAAATTAAATTAAAACTATTTTAAAAATAATAGAGACTCGATTTCATAAAAATAAAAATATAAACATAAATTTTAAAATAGTATAAAAGCTTTAAATTCTGAAATAATATAGAAACATTTAATGTATTCAAATTGAATAAAATAAATAAATAATAAGTAATTTTGTATGAAGACTTGCGTGGTGATGGTTGTAGTTAAAGAGTTTCTTGAGAAATAACTGTATTTTGTACGAAATGTCAGGTAAAAGTGTCTTTTACCCTTCGTAAGTACCTCGTTGACATTTTACAGTTCATCTATATGATAAGCTACTTCCAAGTTGTTAGGAGTATTTGTCAAGTAAATAACAAACCCAAAAAAATGGATTTTAATATTTTTAAAATAACCAATGAAAATAATATTAATATTATCCAGTTATAAAAGAATGACTACATATTAAAAATGTCCTTAAACTACTATAGCTTTATTTAAATAAATGTATGCAATTTTTTTACTAAAATAAACCTTTAATCTTAAATTATTACTCATAAGAGCCCTTGATATTAATTAGTTGATATATATTTTTATTTTATTTTAAACAAACAAATAAACCAAAAAATAGAAAAAAGGAAGGAAAAATTAGCTTTTACCCAAAAATCACTCAAAAAATAATTAATCCATAAAATAATACTCATTTCAGATTATTTCTCATTCTAACACATTTTTATGTCAAGTTGGTAAAGGCGTGTTTTGCATGAAGTGTCTTTCGCTGACGTGGAAAAAGACACTTTCTGCAGGAAGCGCCTTCCGCTTACGTGGCACAAAAAAGTCAAAACTCTTTAAATTGGACTCAAATGAACTAAAAAAGAAAGGAAAGGTAAAAATATAAAAAGAAAATTACACGAATTTTATCTAAAATGAATAAACGTGTGCGGTGCGTGTCAAAGGCACGTAATTGTACAAATACAAGCACGAGTCAGGTCGGGCGACAATGATGATGTACATGTATTAGCCCATATTATTTAGATATGTGAGCTTTCAAGTATTTAAATATAATATTTTAAGCATTTATTTATTGAATGATTAAACATAAGGTTAATACAAAGCGTGTCGTGACTTGTTCCCCCTTTTGTACTTGTGTAATTATGTGCCATTAACACACATTGTACGTGTTTGTTCTTTGTAGACAAAATTCACATACATTTTTCATATTTTAACCTTTTTTTTTCTTTCATTTCAGACCAACCTGATCGAGATTAACAAAAGACGTTTTTGCAAAATAATAAGTGTTATATTGAAAATTAATCAACAATGAATAATATTTTGATAATTAGTTATTTTTAAGTAAAAAAACAAACAAAACAAGTGAAATAGACACATGAGTAAAATACACAACATGACATGAGCGATGAGATTGAAAAAAGAGTTCTTTTTTTTGGGGGAAAAAAGCGACAGAATTTATATTTTTGTTATAGAATTGCACTCCCTCCAATTTCTTACCAATTTGTCAGCCGCCGCCGAAAGCTTCTTCTAAGAAGCTCCTCTTCTCTTTTTAAAGTTGAAACTAAAAGCCCACTTTCAATTCTTTTTCCTTCTTGTATTTTCGATAATGGATGGCGTCTTAGGGCAGTCGCCGCCATCAACTCTCCGACGCCGCAACTCCATCACAACCCCCGTCCAAATCCCTGCGAAGCTAACTATAGTGACTCCGAAGCTTCTCCAAACTGCCACAAGCCTCCCAAAAGGCAGCGCCGCCCCATCTCCGCTTAGCCTCGAGCTTATCTCCCTCAAAGCCTCCTTTGCTTCCTACACTTCACTCAAAGACATCCTCCCTTCCCCCGCCGTAGATATCAACTCCCCCTCCGCGGCGGGATCCGCCACAAATTCTGGGTACGAAATTTCAATCCGCAACCGCTTAGTAAAACAGGCCGCTTGGGCATATCTGCAGCCCATGTCAGCCTCCCCAGACTCCTCCGGTCCTCACTTTTTCTGTCGGCTTTGGCTCCAGTTCTCATCTCACAATCCCATCTCTTCCTGTCTTCGGTTCTTCAACCTCAAACTCTTACCTGGTCTGACCGGACTCGTCAATCGGATATTCGGATCCATTGGAACCATCTTCAACAGATAAAGATAAAAGTCGCGTATACACATGAACAAGGGATAGAATATTCAATCAAGTACATAAACTGTAGGAAAACATATATATATATAAGTAATTTGTGTTGCAAATAAAAAATGACTGAATTGATTTGCAGACTGGGTTTCTTATCTCTTTGTACAATTTTTGTTTGTTTATTAGAAATTGTTAATTGTGTGGTTTCATACGCCAGCGAGGTCAATCAGTTTTGAACCGGACGAGTTCTTCTACGAGGTGAATCATTGCTTGAACCACTGTAACCATTTGGCGTGGACGGTGAAACTTGCTCATCAGGTTTCTGCAAAAAAAGGTTTGGCTTTTCTGAATGTTTCAAGTTATGTTGATGAAACTGAAACAACAAATACTTTATTTTTTGTTGTTGTTGAAGAATTTACCTGATTGGCTTGTTTAAACTTTAAAGATTGATTTGCCACATATTGAAGCATTTCAAAGAATTTTCCCTGCCCCATATCTGCGAAATGTTGACAGTATTTCCATATGAAGTCCCATATTCTAGCTTTGATCTCTTGTATCTTTCTATCCACTTCTGTTTCGTGTCTTGCCATGAAAGGTCGAAGCAAGGTATCATATACATAACCAGTACCCTAAATTATCAAAATTCAAAACCTTGGTATTGCCAATTGAGTTCAAAAGTTGCAGAAAAATAAAAAAGGTAAATTTTATTCCACTACCTTTACCTTTGTTTTAGGATACCATAGGTAGACTAACATTGCAATCTTCATCTCGCCATACATTGGAAACCTTCAGGATTGTTCAAAATCTAATGTTAGTATCATAAACAATTATACTTCACAATTAGGCAAGTTGGATTAGTTTTGGGTCGATTCAACCTGAATCGGATTTGAGTCATTTTTGTTTTGCGTCACTTTCGAGTGTTTTTGGAGTTAATGTAATTAAGGTTTGAGATTCAAGTTTTCGAGTTGGTTCATTGTAAATTTTGAATCAATTCAGATTCAGGTCGATATTTTTTATAATAAAATTGAATTGAATTTTAATAAGATTTGATAACTCAATTTTCAAATTTAAATCACAAATTAAGCTACATGAAAGTTAAGAGGTGTGAATATACCATGAAATAAATGCTTCCCCACTCCACTCGAATACTATCAGAAACGCCATAAGGATCCTGTGAAAATACATTGTATGCATAACTTTTACATTTAACATAAAGCCAAACAAATGATGCACAAGCCAATAATTGGTAAAATTAATCGATTATTGCTTAATGGAATATAATGTCACGTCTTAAAGAGGTAAGAGACATTAATCTTATATTAAAAAAAGAAAGAAATTTTAAAGTTTATAAGTGGTAGTACTGTTTGTTCTATCAAATATTTCTTTTAAGAAAAGAGTAATAGCACCGCGATAAGTAATATCAAAGTGACTCTTTAGTTATTTAAGTTCATAAAAATGATAGTATAACGAATTTCATGAAATTAAGAGAGGATGAAGAGAATAATAACCCTATGATAAAATATATATAACTGATCCACCACCCTAATCCTCCTCAACGTCATATGTGTAATGGGAAAAGTAGTAGAAGGCAATAAATAAGAGATTGATTACCAATATTGACACCAAAATCTGAGTTCCTCGATCCTAACTTTGTTCTTCTCCACCGTTTTAAAGCACTCAAATGCAGGATACGCATATCCAAGAAGCAACCTGCAATCATCGGAAGACAGAACAGATAGTAACAAATTCCAGAAAATTCAAATGACCCGTTATAATTGAACAACCAAAGAATATTAACGCAAAACAACAAAAATGGAAATGCATAGTTAATCACTTACACAAGCACTCTGTTAATGAAGCTGCCCAACATTGTTTTTTTAAATGCAATATTTCATTTTCCCGGAACAAAATAAATAGTTTTCGATGAAAAGAAAATTCAATTTCTCTTCATTAAATCTTTCATTCACTGAAATTTGGCAAAAGAATAGAAACCCCAAATTTCCAAACGTGCTTAGGAAACTAAAAACACGAATCACCAAATGGATTAATGGAAGTTCCTTAATTTATGGCTTCACAAAACAGTCTTTTTAATAACAAAAAAAAAAACAGAAACATAAATGGTAACTAACACAGGGGAGACAATACTTAAGAAGTATCCTTTGATTCTTGCGCCGGAGAAGGATAAAGAAATAAAGAAACCAAACAATTGCCTTCTTTTGGTGGAGGAGGCGCGGAACTTGATATTTAAACTACCAAGATGAAACAATTTGTATGTTTACTTAACACAAATTTAGTAACAAACGTGAAGAATAAATCCACCAAGTTGATGAGACAACGTGAAGAATATTACAGAGACAATCATCTTAACAAATGATTGTTGCATATTTTAGTTATGTTTAATCTACTTGTGTATTGAACTCGTTGAGTAATCTTAGTGTTGAAAGATAATATTATTTTTCTAAATGATTCAGATTCAAGTAGTTGTGCCTATAAAAAGAGTATACTTAATTGTAATTGATAGTGTAACACCCCAAATTTAATGAAACTAGGGACCAAATTACAAGTTTTTGAAACTTGCATTTTGGTTTAGAAGATGTTTGAAGTTCAGGGACTTAACCCCAATTTTTCCCTTTTTCTATAGACAGAGACAAAAATAAAAAGAAATGGAGTTGGTGGATGCGGGAATTTGAACCCTTATCCCCCGAGAAGGTCGCCAAGGCTAGGGTACTGTTACTGATATTTTTAATTTAAAATGATTTTATTGATTTAAAGGTCGGGTTACCCACCCCAAAATCCCCAATTTCCCAAATCCCTAACCCCCACAATCCTTAGTCGCCGACCCTTCCATCGTCGATTTCTCTATTGTCAGGCCACCACTCAGCCCGCTACCGCTCCCATTTGATTCACCGTCGACCGACGACCAAAACCCAATGGCTATCGAAACGTGATTTGTCGTCAATCAGTGCGAATCAACATTCGAAGCATCACCAGAAAAATCACCCTCGACGCTCGAATTTTCAGCGTTTCCCGTTGATCCGACCGTCTGTTAGCCTTACCTCCTGCACCATCAAACTCGTTGTCGTCGTGCGCTCAAAACCCAACAGAAATCATCGCGCCGTCGATGCTCCACCACTGTCACTCGTCGGTCACTGTTGGAAAAGTTCGAACATTTTAAAATTCCACACTCCACCGTGTTTCATCGAAAAATAACCCATGCACGAGACTCCCGAGGTGCTGATCTACGAATCTGGAAATTTTCACGCCAAACCGACGGCCAGAGCCGTCGCACGCGCCACACGCACGTAGGCATCGTCTGTCAACAAAGGGGTCAGTTGGACAGGTCTAAACTAGTTTGATCAGTTTGAACAGGTTGAGCTAAACCGAGCCATGAACCGAGCCGAGCCATTAACCATGCCTTGACCGTTGACTGGTCGTTGACTTTTTTCAAGAACACCTATCCTGATTTTTTTGACGTCTTGAGTCCGTTTTTAGGTCCGTTTCGCCAAATTCGAACTCAATAAGTTATTTTTAACTGATTAACCTCTCGGTTCGATCCGTTTTCGCAATTAAGCTCTGCTTCTAATGTAGTTTCTGTTGATATGTATCCGAGATATTATTGGACGTTGGATTCAAGTTCGAGAGCAATCAAATAAAGTTTTAATGTTCATACGATGTAGCTCGAGAATCGAGGTAATACTTTACTACCCATTGCATGTTGTATGGTACAAGTTAAGTATTGGTTAATGCATAAATAAATATGATTAGGTTGGGAATAAATATTAATTATTCTAAACCTATACTGATATCGGTAAAATGTTGAAAATACCCTTCGGATACAAATATGACATGAGTTAACTCTGATAGTGGAAACAACTTGGCATAAGTGAATAACTTTGGATAAACCCTAAAAATACCTTAAACTTAAGCATGGAATTGCCTCTAAAAGTCTTGGAACACGACCCAAGCTTGTCGGTTTCTCTGGATACGATTGCAATACATAAATAAGTAATATGATTGGGATACATGTTCGTCTTTATAAGATTTATTCTGATGGTGGTATGATGGTGACTAGTTCAGCTAGTGTAATCAGTATTGAGAAGTAATATTTTGAAGGATATCAGTCCGAATGTTTAGTGAGTATCGTAGTGTTGAGATCTATTCAACCTTATTTGACCCAGAAGCAAGATAATTCAAAATAAATCTTGAATAGGATGAATTATCGTTGAATTATTAAGTATTCTTTCAAAAAATCAAAATAACAAAAACAACCCTATAGAGTAAAATTACAAAAATGCTTTTGCAATGTAAAAAGACCAAGATTGCCCCTAAAAGTAAAAAATAACCCAGAAATGACATACCTAACCAAATTACCAGAAAAGGTACATATGTTTGGATTGATCAGAATTACCGAAATGTCATCGAGTTGCGAAACAACTAAAATAACCTCCAATATTCAAATGACTAAAATATATTGAACCCTAAAAGAACCAAAATACCTTGAACTCTAAGATGATCGAAGTAACCTCGACTTTTGAAGCGACCTATTATCTAAATGACTTAAAATAAGTAGATGTCCTTGGTAGATTTTAGAAACATCGATAAACCTAAGTGTTGTATCGCCATTTAAGGTGAAGCATGACCCAAGTACGTCGGTCATTCTGGATATTGTTGCAATTCATAAATAAATTAAACACAACCGAAATATTTGTTCATCTTGTAAAGATCTATTCAATGTTGATTATAATGGAGATTCGTTCAACTAGTGCATTTAGTATTGGGGAGTGAATATATGTGAATTATCTTGACCAAAATGTTTGACAAGTATTGCAGTGTTGGAATCTGATTAGTGAGACTTGACTCAAGTATGATTATTTGATATAATCTTAATTATTGCAAATTATCACCCAACCATTATTAGGTTATATTACTAAGAATTTTCCAATAATCAAATGTCCAAAATGCCCATGATTGCCTGAATAATGGAATTATTCTAGTTATATATGAATTTTAAATTATTCTGACGTAAGGTTTCTGAATACCTTCCTGATGCACTTGAATCCTAAATGGTACTGAAGTATCAATTTCTAAATGTCTGATTAAATCCGTTAGTAATTGAACCTTTTTTATATAGGGACAACCTACTTGAAATCCGATCAATCTACAAAAATTATACGTTTTCCCTTCTTGATAACGATCAAATACCTCTGAAAAATAACTGAATTTGTTGGTGTGTTCCCTACGTGCTATATGATTATTTTATCTGTTTTGAAATGTGATTTACCAAAATTATTGATTTACTAATTTACTGATATACAGGTTGACTGTTTATGTACCATGACTATCTTATATATGTTATATGATTACTTGTTTTCACTGGTTATGTCGATTTATGGACCATTGAATTCACTGCTTACTGTGTGAATTGTTTTATTGAGATACTGTTTTGGGTAGGATACTAGAGTATGGAGGTTCAGGTCTAATCAAGCTAGTAATTCCTTACGGACCCAAGGTATTCCTTAGGTTGGTTCCTAGGTCCATTGGGCCTAGGATAAGTCCTTATGGATGCAGTTCTGGCGAACTCCATATAGTGTACGGGTGGAGGGCATTAATGTGATTTAAATAACTACATAGTCATTTGTTGAACCATGTTGTCTAATATTTTGATATAACAAATTAAGGTAAAATGTTTTTGGACTTGATTGAATTTGTTCAAAGTTTTCAAAAATAATTCAAAGTCCATTAAACTAGAATTTGAGCATAAAACTGTTTTTCTTGGTACATAGTACCGATACCAAAGGTAAGAGAAGTATCAATACTCCCTAGGTAGTATCGATACTACCAGTTGGTTTCCAAATTGCTCAAATTCCATAATGCAAAATAGGTACTGATACCCAAAGGGGTACCAATACTACTTTACACAGTAGTATCAATACCTTGAAATATAGTATCGATGCTGGTCAAGCCCAATGGTCTTTAACAACTAGTTTATTTAAATATTACAAAGATAGTACTGATACTCATTAAAGGAGTATCGATACTCCCTGTCTTAGGAAATTTTATTTTGCAGAAAATTAATCCCCAACGGCTCCAAAATATCCCCAGCGGCTAGAAACGGTCACAAACTCATTCCAAATTATAAAAACAAGTTGATGACACTTGAAGAAGGTTAATAATACCTATCCAAGCAATTGAGATCAAGAGAAAAGCTCTTTCACTCTTTATTTTCTTTTTTTCTTGTACATATATGTTTGAGCTCATTGCAAATCTTTTAATTATTTTCTTATGAGCTTAATTTTTGTAGACACCTTCCTTTAAGAGGTTTTATTGTTTACTTCTTTTATTCCTTTGTAAAGGGATTGGTTATAACTTAGTCTTTGAAAATCTAGGGAGATGTAAATGTTATCTCTCTATCATGGAAAAATAAAGAACAAATTAGTGAATTTGTTAGAAAATCCTAAGTAAAGAGCTTAGGTAGTGGATGTAGACTTGGTTGAGAAGTCGAACCACTATAAATCATTATACAAATTGTCTCATCTTTATACTTTTTACTCCATAAACTCAAAAAGTCAATTCACCCCCTCTTGGCAAATTATTCGGTTGATCAATTTGAGTTTCATCGAAATTCAAATAATTGGTATCATAGCTTGACTCATTAGAAGGTCTAACAACTTTGATATGATCCTTGAAGAAGCTCTATCCATTTTTGAAGTAACCGAGAATGACTTCCACCTCCGGCTCGTTCCACATGAAGACTCCAACCGATCGACAAGACCCATACTTCAAGGAGCTAACTACCATCATCGGAAGAAATTAATGAAGCTATTCATCCAATACAATGATCTTGATATGTGAGAGATGATCGAGAACAGGTACTCTTCTCCAAAGA